CTCACAGTTACTGCTATTGAGCCTGGTTTCACCCAGTCTATATGTGTACTTTGGATTTTTCTTGCCTAAGTGTAGGACTTTACTTTTCTCTACATTGAATTTCATTTTGTTAGATATGGCCCAGTGTTCTAGTCTGTCAAGATCCATCTGGATCTTGAGCCTATCTTCTTGGGAGTTAGCTATTCCTGCCAGCTTAGTATCATCTGCAAATTTGGTAAGTTCCCCTTCTATTCCCTCATCTAAGTCGTTAATGAAGACATTGAAGAGTACTGGGCCTAAGACAGAATCTTGTGGGACCCCACTGCTTACTTTGTGTTGTGTTTACGTTTGTGTTGTTGTTGCTGGATAGCACTTTCATAGTCATCAGTGCTCAGAAGTAATCCCACACATGAAGCTGTTAAGTTTTATATCAAACAGATTTAAACAGTTATGGAATTCATGTCTTTCACAGTGGGAATAAAACTTCCACACCACATTTGGCATTAGATACCATTGATACCATAGCATGGTGTTTCTCAATCCTGGCAACTTTTAAGAGGTGTGGACTTCAATTCCCAGAATTCCCTAGGATGCTAATAGGGAATTCTGAGGCTTGGTCCACCCGCTTTCACTTGCCAAGGTTGAGAAATACTGCAATAGCAGATAACCAGATAAGTACAAATCAGCACACCAGAGATTTTGCTTTTTTCTGTATTGCTTTCTTGATGTATAGTTGTCCAGATTTCTGCAAACCCAGGTTGGGGAGCCCTCTGTACTTTCAGCCATGATGCCACTTGGGCTTCTAGAGCCCAGCTGGTGTTCAGACTTTGCAGAAGAAAGAGATGAACTATTAACCTGAACAGTAACGAGTGAAACATCTCCAGGCTGCAGGTGTTTGCCTTTTCCTTTTAGTTTATGGAAACAGGATTAGGAGGTAAGCCACCCAGATTATGTGCTTTTGCACATTAAAGAAAAAAAATATTGGCTTTGTTTACAGCAAGTGCATGGTGCCAACTTACTCCCACTAGATAGGCCTCCTTAATTCAGTTTCACATGTCCTTTGTCACTTGCACCCCAAATGACTCCATCTTGAATACCTTATCTCTAATAATTGGATTAAGATGAGCCTGATAAGGCAACCTTTTCAAGTTCAAACTATACTGTGCACATTCGCAGTTAAGGTAATAATTATATATCATTTAAAATATATCATTTTGATAAAAAAAATATTTAAATCTATTTCAACTCATTTCAGCAAAAATTTTCTTTAATCATAAAACTATATCTTACTATTGTTTGTTATAAAAAAAACATCATAAATCTTGCCAGCCCATTGGTTTTTGTAAGCAGAACCATTTCAGGACTCCAAACTGGCCCTTGAGTTTGTTATTAAACCTGTTTGGCTTCCAGGGAGCTGGCATTGGAGTAATTGGCAAAATGGTGATACCATTCACTGTGTTTTAAGCTGTGACTATGGTGTAATTCAAAAGTTCATTAGTCAAAAACCACTATTTCCTTTAAGAGATGAACATTGGGAAATATGAGTAAAACTTCCTTCTTACATTTTACTTGCAAACATAGGAATTTTAAATGAACTCAATGTTATGCCAAATTCCCTTTACCTTAGTCAGGAAAAAAAAAGATCCCAAAAGATTGCACAAACTACACACACACAAAGGTCTAGACTCCTTGTATGTGTGGATTTTTAACCTTAAATTTCAACATTTGAATTCCCATGTGCTGAAAGGCACAAAAGTCTTTCTATGGATAAATGTTGCCAATACCCAGAAGGAAAAAATTTCAGAGACAACGAAACTATTGCCAGATCCACACAAAACTCTACAGCTTCTGCAGCTGTGAAACATATTTATTCATGCCTAACATCAGAAAAAGTTGGGCTGAGAAAACATATATATATATATACTTTTTATAAATATATTCCTCCTAATTATTGAAAATCATGGATATAGTAAAATAATTAGATTATGATTTCAAGACCAAGTTGGGTATTTCTGGATGAAGTAGCGAGTTATTTTGCCTGGCTTCCTCCCATAAGCTATGTAATCAGCCAGACCACTTCCTTTCAGAAGAGCTCCACGGTCTGTTGCCCTGAAGTAGAGATACAAGCAGTATTTCATTCTAGAAGACACAAACTAAAAATTCAATACCTCTCCCTGGTATCACAGTTGGGAGTTCCACCCTTCCTGCAGTTTGGCGGCTGAAGGGGTGTGGATGACATTACAAACACCCTCCCCTAAACAAGGCAGAAAACTGCTTTCTAATTTCTCACAAACTTGGATGAATCTCTCCTCTGGCAGAGGCCGGAAAGCCTCTTCCAAAAACTGCCAAGTCCTCACCTAATCAACCTCCTCCCATTCTCTAAGTAAATATCCTTAGACAACTCAGCCTCCACTAAAGAGCAGTAAGGCTGGTTTATACTTTGGCCTTCAGAAGGCTGATTTTGTCTGGCAAGCTTCACTTGTGGAGTAAACCAACTATCCAACTTTGTCTTGTATTTCCTAGGGGTGTGTGTGTTTGTGTGTGTGTGTGGGGAATTAAGACAATCCTCAATCCAAAGGAATTTGGCTGGTGAAAGGGAGAAGTGAATGGTGGAAAGTAGCAAGGTAGGGAAAGTATCCATGGGACAAATGAAGAAGGGGAGAACAAATGGTTGAAATGGCCTCAGAAAATAGTGTCACATGGCACTCCTGAACCAGGATGTATCCACAACCTGGAATGACCATACGATTCTGGGATCCCAGCTGTGTAAAAGAGCTATCAATCAACTCCTGGGCCATCCTTCCCAGTTTCTCGGCTATCCTGGGAGAGAAAAGCCCAAGCAGCTCGTTTTTATCCGTTAATGCAGACATGTTTCAGTGGCCAATGCAATTCTAGAACATGAAATGTATCTAATCACTGCAGAGTGTTGTGGATTTGGTTGAGAAATCTAGAATGCCCCCTAGACAAGTCCTCCTTGCCATTTTCACAATTAAACTCAGTGTCTGTTGTCTTAATCAATACTTAATCAGTATTTCTAATTGTTAAGGGTTTGAATATTAGCCCATAATTTATAGTCACTACTCCACTCTAGATTCTCTTCCAGAGAGATCAAACTGGTAGGCATGAAGTGAGGCCTTTTTTTTGTCAATATTGCTACACCTTCCTAGGGAAGTTAGGCATGGTTCTTCCAAGTAGAAAACAAAAAGATTTGAATTGTTCCTTACATAACTTAATGGTCAGGATAGAGCTGATCATTTAAAGATAACCAATTTTGTTTTGTATTGGCTTTATTTTTAAATTTTAGTTTGTCTATTTCTGAAAGGACCCCAGTGGTTTATAAGACAAGCCATAAATATTTACAGATTAGTACCTAAACAAAGTTGTCTAATACACTACTAAATACATTTCTTTGCTTTTAAAAATGAGGGACAAATTATTTTTAGGAAGGAAGACAAATATTATGGGAGTATACTATGAAATTGGACAGCATTATGTATATGCCAAGTCTGTGTATGCACCAGAATAGAATAAAATGAAATACAAGTTTTGTGGTAGAGGCAGAAGTTTGTATTCACTAAATCCACTCCTGCATTTTCATAGATTGAATTTATCAAAATGGTAACTTGCTTTTGCAGAGTTAATAGAATAGTGTTGGGAGCACAAAATGATCCCACCTTCCTTAACATTCAACACACACACACACACAAAAAACCTTATCCAGTTGATAGCTTGGATAAAGAGTAAGAACTTCTCCATGTTTTTTATTCTCAATTTCAAATGGGAGTTGCATTAAAAGAAGTTATCATAACTATGGCAGATCCTATGATTGCTTAGATTTTATCCCATCAGCCTCAATTGGCAGTTTTAATAGAAAATGATTCTTTTAAGATTATGATTCCCATAACCAGATTACACTAGGCTACCTGATGTATAAGACCATAGCAGTAGCTTTCATAATGTCTGCATGTACACATGATCCTCTTTATGTTTGCATTATCATGATTGGGGGAGAAGAGAATTAGACTTCCCATAGATAATCTGTCCACATAGTTGAAGAAATTTAGCTAGGCTACTAAACTAAGATAAAGGGCAGAATATCGGGCAAAACTTGTTTTGTAAGATAGGTGGCTATATCAATTTAGCCAACAGAACAAACACAAAGAAAAAAGTCATTGCATACTACTAACTGGGTTGGCCATTGGAAAGCTCCTTTTTTTTGCTGTTCATCTAAATTACAAAGTTGGATAGCACAGCAAAGTCATCTTATCCTATCCTGAACTTTTTAAAAAAGAGAAAGGCGATTTGCCATTTCCTTCTTGAAGAATTACCTAATAATTACTTATTAAAGCAGCAAAAGAATTTGTGGATAAATAGCAAGCAATATCCCTATTAAACATTTTCAGTGACAGAAAACAGCAGTTAGGCCACAGGATCTGAATGCTCCACCTCTACTGCCTTGGGCAGGTATCCTCTGACTCCACAGTATAAAGGTGGGAACAGAGACTTACCATGCAGGTTTGGTGTGGAGCCAAACAGAGCAACTAAATAAAGTAACTTGCTTTGGCAACTCACCCCTTGCCCTCCCCATAATTATAAAACATATAACAAATAAGGAATGCTCTAGATAAATAAAATAACTTTGGGTGACTGTGATGTTTCTCTTTGGTCTTCTATTAGAACCACCACACAATGGCTTAGAACAATCCATCCTTTCCAATTCATATTCCTTTAAAGCAGTATCTAAATGTTGCCTGGAAAAATTATTCACAATATTCTCTGCCAAAAGAAAATATTTTGAATTATTTTTCTAGAAATTACACCAGAATAATTATGCTGACATGACTTTATTTAAACTCTCTTCACCAATCAGGATTTTTTTTTCCAGAATGTGACTATTTTACATGTCCCGTGCCCCATTCCCTCTTTACCAATGTCTCTTCTTTACAAGGATCACAAATTCTGTTTCTGTATGAGTCCGATGAACTTTTAGACATTTTCCTAGGAATGCTGGATATTCTGTGTTATTTTAAAAAACAAATCCCAAACCCATTGATTACACATAATTAAAAAAGAGCACACGCTATATTAGAACTATCTTTAAAAACAGTGTAAGATTGTGAATTTATTCTGATTGAATCACATAAAGTCCTCTTTGTGTGTGTGTGTATGTGTGTGTGTGTGTGCACAGACACATACACTCCCACAATATGAATACAGCATCTTGGGATGGTTTCTGTCCAATTCCACTTATGTCCTCAGAATGTTCAGTTTCATTCTCCCAGTTTAGAGAAATTGTTCTCTTGTTCTCTGCCATGTTCCTTTTCTTTCAAGAGTTTCTGGTTCTCAGCTCTCAACCTGTCCAGTTCCTGTACTAACTCACTTACCCTAGGATCCTCTGTTGAGTCCCCTGCAAATTTCTTGTTCTCCATCTGTAGGCGGTTGTTCTCTTCCTCCATCTTGGAAAGACACTTCTCCAACTCCAAGTATTCCTTGATCAATTCCTGTTTGCTCATATTCTGTAGACTCTCTACATGATATTTCTCATATGTCTCTGAAAAATCTTTCTGAAGGAATTCAGTACCATCCCCTCCCATCCCATCACTACCCCCATCCTCCTCTTCCACAAAATCTTCCTCACTGGTTTCATCTGATTTGGTGGCAGATCTTTTGGGGTAAAGGCTGGTCTTCAAATCTGGTTCTTCTTGATCATGGTCCTCCATCAAAAACTGTGTGGTGTTGTATGGTGCAACAGGCTGTCCTTTAGCAAACATCTCTGCCCGCATCCTGGAAGCTCGTTGACTCTGCTTCTCGTCAAACTTCTTCTTCTCTTCCCAGCTGAGTTTGTAATAAGGCTTCCAATGTTTCTTCTTCTTTGAAGGGCGCCTCCTATGTTTCTTTTTGCCCAACTGTTTTTCCTCTTCTTCACCAGACTGGGATCTGCAACTCTGGTCAACAGTCCCACAGTATCCCTGCTCCTGAAGGTCTGGCTGCTCTCCATCTCCTGCATCTTGGGTGTCTGCAGCTGCACCAAATGTCTGGCCCTCAATCTGATTAATCCCTGGGGCAACCAGAGTTTGGCTTCCTCCAACCACAGGAACTGTGAGATCTGTACCAGAGAAGGCAACATCAGCACCGACTGGCCTGCCATCCTCCTGCTTAACCATCTCTCTCGGTTGCCACCTATCGGCAACCTCTCTTCCTTGGAGCAGTTCCTGGTTAGTGGGTGGAGAGCCAACAAAAGGTCCCCCTCCGCCAGAGTCTCCTCCACCTGCACCCCTGCAGGGGGGGAAAGGTGTTTTGCCATTAGGCTGTTGCCTCAGGTTGGCAGAGAAGGCAGCATCAGCCATAGTTGGTGCTTTTAGCAATTTCCTCAGTCGGAAGGAGATTGTGGGCTAGTAAGTCCGAGGTGTTGACTCCCTCTTCTCTTGAAAGAGGGAGAATTTAATTAGCCGACAGTGTCTTGGGATGGTGCCGGAGCTGCCAGCTTCACACCTTCTGAGAAATCAAATACTTTTTTTAACACTTCAGCCCAACTTGCAAGCCTTTACAGAACTCTTACTGCTTAATCGCAGAATAGTTATCAGGAGTATTAATCTGGAAGCCTTTTTCTCGCTCTTTTTTAAATTTCTAAAGTGTTAAAACATTAAGCTTTGCAGGGGGGGTGGGGGGAAAAAGACCGGTTAGCTGTCTCGGTCAGTCTTTAAATGTTCGTTACCTTCTGGGAAGTGTGGAAGTATCCGGTTTTTTCCCCCTCCAGTCTCTGCTTCTCCTGTTTGTCACACTGTAGAAAAGATGCACATCTCCAATTGCAAAAAAGATTATAGAAGCAAAAAGAGTTCCAGCTAAAGAACGAGCCGCCGCAACAGAGCCGGTATGTCCTTGAAGCACCTTGTAACGCAACAATAATTATATTTTTTAAAAGATGAAGATACGGGAGACAAAAGGCCACTGAAGAGTTAAGCAGCAGGTTCTCCCTCCAGCGTAGATGATGAAAATGTTAAATGTCCAAATCCACACCGTCAAAGGTTAACAGTTCAGGCACGAAAAAGTTCAAGGCAGTGTCAACGTCAAGAGTCTAAGTGTGTAATAGTTCTTCGTTTTTCTCAACAATCCCAAAAATCGCTTGAAAAATATTTCCGTCCCAAGCTTCAGCTATGAAAAAACTCTCCAGTCCCGAACGAGTTAAAAATGGTTCTTCTTCTTCTCCTCCTCCTCGGAGAGGAAAGAGTTAACTAAAGGAAGGAAGGTTGGCTCCTCCACGCACAACCAAAGTTCGAATCTCCCCCTCCCTGCAGTTAACCCCACCCCTCCTTCCACTGCTTTCCTCCCTTACTCAAGCGCCGTCAGTTCTCAACTGCTACTCCTAGCGCGTTTCCTCGCCTTATATAAACGAACCAGCCCCTTCAACGCAGTGCGCAGCCGCTTCTCATTTTCCTAGTCCCAAGGTATCTCGGGAGTTGTGGTTTCTCCTTCCGATCGATTGGCCGGTTCTCTTTTAACACAAAGACTACCCTTCCCAGAATCGCGGCAAGAGACTGTTATTTAGCCAATCAATATTCAAGGAGGGTTGGGACAACAAGGAAGCTCTCTCTGATAGGCTGCCTAAATAACTAAAACATCAATGGCTAAAATAGGAGTCCTTCAATATTAACTGAACCAATCAGAAAAGAATAGTTGGAGGCGGTGTAGGAGGTTGAGTTGGAATGTACCAACTATTTATGAGAATCTTGAACTCTTAACGCGTATTGAACGGGCCTTTTTGAGACCTCCTAGAGTGTATCTTCAAACGAATGTTATCTCAGGTACTTTATGTCATAATAGCGTTGAAGGACAATGGGTTTATAATTTAACCCTCGAGAAAAAAATATGGTAGTGTCCAAAAAGTAGTTCCAATGTAACTATAAAGATTAAAAGGATTTTGTAATGAGTCATTCGTTTAAGATTGAGGGGTTTCAGTAACTATTCGAGAATTTGGGGAGAGCAGTGATGTCATCTAGTGACAAAAGATTTGGACAGGAGAGTTGAGTAGAGAGCTCCTGCTGGCGGAAGGTCACTACTAGTTGTGTAAAAAACCCCAGCTATGTTAACCTATGACGGTGACTAATCTACGTGGAGGGAGTTGTAAACAAACCGAAATTGGAAACTAGTTCCGTCTTAAAGGCGTAAAGGCACTCTTCTCGCTAAATCAAATGATGTAATTGAAGGCCTGGAAAAGGGGTTGCAGTCTAGTGGTTAAAGACTGAGATTTGGACTCTTTTTCTTTCGCCAGAGGAAGATATGCCCAAGTTGCAACAGACCCAAGCGGAAAGAATTTATTAACCAGTTACTGGTTTTCTCTCTGGCTGTGAAGAAAGCAGGGTGGAGAACCGTGACTGAAGAGGCAGCTGCAGAACTTGAGGCCTGCAAGCTCTTCTCTTCTAATGCTTAGAAGCAGGCTCAAGTCATCAGGAAGCAGATGCATTCTGTATATGCTCAGAGACTAATTTACCTTCAGTTCTGTTTCACCCGTTTCGAGCCCAATGGGCTGCCAGGTTAGGCAACCCTCATTTCCACTGAGCTGAAGCTGGGACCCAGATTGCCTCAGTGGAGGTACATATCAGGAACGCCTCTTTTGCAAACCCTCACCTGAAAGGGCTGCTTAAGAGGGAGAGGATTTCCTTTGCCATCCACAACTGCTCACCTCTTCCACCCCACATCCTGACTTGTCTTTCGCTGCTGTTCACATGGTGGAGTTGTAACAGGATAAGCGTTTGGTTAGCTTTTTACAGTGGAAAAAGTGATCCAGGTGCATAACAATTTTGTAAAGAAAGGTAAAAAGTATAAACTGACCGTGTTGGGGTCAAATACTGTAGAGCCTTTGAAAATTAAACCAACCTCTTGAAAGTAACTTCAAATGATAGAAAGTCTGAGAAGTGATTAAATTTAAAATGCCAGCATGTTATCCTTTCCTATGAAAACATATTGGCATGACTGAAATTGCATTAAGCTAATTCTATAAAAGGGACGTGGTGGCTCAGTGGCTAAGACACTGAGCTTGTCGATCAGAAAGGTCGGCAGTTAGGTGGATCGAATCCCTAGCGCTGCGTAATGGAGTGAGCTCCCGTTACTTGTCCTAGCTTCTGCCAACCTAGCAATTCGAAAGCATGTAAAAATGCAAGTAGAAAAATAGGGACCATTTTGGTGGGAAGGTAACAGCATTCCGCACACCTTTGGCATTTATGCTGGCCACATGGCCACGGAGACGTCTTCGGACAGCGCTGGCTCTTCGGCTTTGTAACAGAGATGAGCACCACCCCCTAGAGCCAGAAATGGCTAGCATGTATACGCGAGGGGAACCTTTACCGTTACCTAATTCTATAAAAGGTACAATTTTAAATGGTAGAAAGTAGCGTTTTAGGCATTTTTGAAGTGTTTTAGCAAAAAAATCAAACGGGTGCACCTCAAACTATCGAGGGAAACTAGTTCAAAAGTAATGTGAGAAAGTATTACTTCACAGAAAGAGTAGGGGAAGCTAGGAACCAACTTCCAGCACAAGTAGGTAGTTGATCAGTCATCATTAACTCAGTTTAAATATGTTTGGGGAAAAAACATTCTATCATCCAACGTAAGTAAATAATAAAATAATGGCAAGTCCAATCTGAACATTTGGCTAACTGCAAAAAACTAAAAAGTAAATTTTAAAAAATTGAAAATATTAAAACAAAATAAAACAAAACCCCTGAAAGGGCAGACTAGATGGGTCACTGGCTCTTTTTCTGCAGTCAATTTTCTGTGTTTCTATGCTAGTTTCCTTATTTCAGTTCAGCACAGGCTGCCTTGCTAAGTTTGCTGCAAACGTTCTAAACTAGAATGATTCCTTACTGCTATGCAACATTTCTCTATAATGTAATCTTGAGAATACTATGAAATACTGTACAAAAAACATGAAGCAAGAAATACAACATTGTACAGCCCAAAATGCAAATGTAACTGCAGCACAACTTTCCTGTAAGTCAACATTCTATTTAACTTTTATTTTAAAATACATTTATCATTTGGAGCATCTATAACTTATCACACAATCTAGCGAACCCAAGTTCTTGTCATCAAGAATCAAACATTTTAAAAAGTGAAATATCCAGGTTGAAATAATTGAAATTTCAAAAAGTAAAAATAGTATATTTACTGCTGACTTGTTCCACAGTGGATTTAATACTTTATCAGAAGCATATAAATCAGGACAAACTAAATTTCCATATCATATAGTACAAGTTTAACCTGAAGAGTATAGCTTCTTTTTTGTGATTTTTCTGAATTGCTCTCAATTACAAGTGTGAAATCTATGACAAAATTCCATTCCACTTTGAGGCATACTATACAGCAAGACTATAGGATAACTTTGAAGATTCATGTAACACTGTTAATGTAAGAAATTCTCCAAACTCAGGAAATTACAAAAAGTGTTGTCCCCATTAAATCTATAAAGATGGTTAAGTCCTATGAAAGTAAAATGGAGAAATTTGGCTCAGAAAAATGTAATCGCTTAAGGTTCTCCTCATCCTATGTCAATAGTTCAAGTCAAATTCTAGCTTTGTAGGCTAAATGCCCTTATTACATTAAGCCATAATTTGCTAGAGCAGCTAGGGTCTAATACTGGGTTGAGCTGAATCTAAGTAATGACCTAGATTAGAATCATGTTGAACTCTATCTTCTGCATTGGGACTGAATACAATAATCCAGAAGAATAAGAATGAAAATTCTCAGTACAGAATAATGCATTTCTCATATTTATTATATATCACTTTTTGTACAAGAGCTCATGGTGACCTTACTTAGTGTTTCATCCTCTTTTTCTCTATAACAAGAATTCTGTAAGGTAGAATGGGCTGAAAGAACATGAGTGGCCCAGAGTCATCCAGTGAGTTTCGGTGTAAGAATACATTGGAATTTGGTTTTTCCTACTCCTAGGATAACATCTTAACATTACCATACTGACTGAGATAGACATGATTCCACATTTAGGAACACATTTAAATTGAGAATCATTAAACCTTACTTCTTCAGGCTTCTGTCTTCAGCTCTGTGCTTCTCAGAGTGATGTGAGCTTGCAGCTGCTTCTTCCTTTTAACTGCTAGTGGGGGTGTGACTTGATTGGGTGGGGGCTTGGCTGTGTTCTGATTGGGTGGGGGCGTGTTCTCATTGGTAGGGGTTTGGCTGTGTTCTGATTGGTTGGGGGGTTGGCCATGTTCTGATTGGCTGGAGGTGTGTTCTGTTCAGGTGGGGGCTTGGTTGTGCTCAGGTTGGTCTTAGTTACTGGGGGATTAGAGCTGGTGAGCTGTGATCTTGCTGTTTGGCTTCGAGTTCGTGGTCGTGCTGCATCTTCATGGTGGGGGTCAGTTCGCTTCATGTATGGATCAGGGGGGGTTGAAGTGGGTAGTGATGCAGCTGCAGTGCGGCTTCTGGTCTGTGGTCGTGTCTCATCTTCTGTGTGGGTGTGAGTCTGCTTTTTACGTGGAAGTGTGGTGGTGGCATCTTGTGTGGCCCTCGTGGGTGTGGGTCTGGTGTCATTCATCATGTTAGGTACTCGTCTGTTCATGAGGGCGGGTTT